GTGCTCCTAGAGCAGGAATGCGAGGCGCAAAGATTATTTATGATCTCATCTGTATCTGTGAAAAAATAAATTTCATTTGCATTAATGGAAAATTCCTACATATTTTATGCCAAAATGCAAAAAAAAATGCCCGCGCGTGGACAATAGTCCTTCTTGAAAATCTAAGCGAAAATTGAGCAAAATCATGTTTTACATATGATTAAATTTTTCTATTAGAATATCTTAATCATTGGCTGCTATAAGTAATGTAAAAGTTCCATATAGTTGCCAATTTTATTAAAATACCTAGGAAAATACTTAAAAGCTGAAAAATCAACTGCATAATTGAGCAGATTGAAATGTAATAGCCGATTTAATAACATTGCGCCATTCGTGTCCTCTTTTCACTGTTTGGCGCCAATTGGAGATACCAAGTACAGGCAAATTCTTCTCTACCTGGTCTTTTCACCGCAGTGGAGATATTCCTCTTCCTCTGCCTCGTCCGGCGGGTACTGCATCGAAAACTTACAAAGCTGGAGTATTCTTGTCCACCAGGACCGCACACTACCCGGAAAGGAAAGAATTTTAAGAAAATTTTTACAACAAACAGGAATTTTTAAGATCCATTTTCTGCATGTTGATCAGAACAAAAAGCCACAAATCCCATAAATTTCAAGTGATCGAATCGATAAATAAGATTTTTAATAATAAAATTTAATTTTCTTTCGTCAAAACTTTTTCCTATTCAATGCGGGTAATTGAAAAATATACATACATACAATATATGCATTTATTTATATACCTGTAAATAGGTAGAAGAGAAGGGTTTCATACATGTACAATAGTATGTAACAAATGTGGTATATGGTCCGTGATCCGCTTCAGAAAAAAAACTACTTTAAATGCTATTTTAAATAGATTCATAAATACAATTTTTTGAAATCGATCGGTATCAGGTTCACTTCCCGTTATAAAAGTAGTATTTATATTAAACTGAAAGTAAAACCATCTATGTACAAAATTTAAAGAAAATCTTATCAAATATGTCTCATTTCGTACAGTTTGATCGCCCATGCATTTCCCGAATTTTGATGCGAAAATATCGAAATCGGTCTAAGCGTTCATTAGTTTCAATTTAGATAATAATATAAAATGCGTCACATTTTTTGAGCCAAATATCAGCGATTCGAATGATAATAATGATTTTTCCCAAAAACAAAATCTGTATATTTTAACCTGGGCAAGGAGCTATTTATACTCGTACATCAACAAAAAAAATACATCGTTTTCGAACACATCACTCTCAGGTGGAAACTCCTTTTTACTGCATGCACAGCCCCCACTCTGCAGGTCTCTTAGATCAATATTTGACGCTGTGCGTTGATCCGCCTTAGGACATAATTTTGGGTGAGCAAAAGTATTGAAACAATCACTATTCACAGTTTTTTATTCTAAATTTAAGAAACTTCTATTAGAGTTAATGATTGAGACAACGGTTTTTTTTGGCAATGAAAATACTCAAAATGTATTTGATATCCAATGTTTTGGGGAGTATTTTTTTAAAAATTTGTGAGATTATATGGTAAACCCCACGTCTGCGTCTGCCGGATCTTCATAATTTGTGCGAGTTGACTAACATTAGTGCGGCGCTTCAAACCGATGTGCCCATCATATTTTATCAAAGTTTATGATAAATTTATACTTTTAGAACACATTTGCATTCGGCGAAGAAATATTTATAATATCTTGTCAATTTAGCTGTCAATCAATGTACATACAAATGGATATGTGCTAGTCCCTCTTGAACTTTGTGAAGGCCGTTAACTAATATGTTCACGAATATGCGCATATGTAGGTATGTATGTATGTATATGTACATTTATGACTAGTTTTTCGATGATAACTTTGAACCTCCTCTCTTGTCAAACTAAATTTATCGATGCTAAAGATTAGAAACCCTACAAACCAGTTAAAGAGGCGCTGCTGTGTATGCAACACACAAATGTTGTATATACGTACGAGTAGGTGAATGTATGAATTTTATAACACTTTGCTAACAGACTAATCAGAAAAATACCCCGCCACTTGAAAACGTTCGACGCCTTATTTTCTAAAGAGATTTATTACCTACAATCCGATTTAAATTTATAACTGTAATGCGTCGCAGAAATGTTTAAAGTCTATTGTAAACCAACAATTAATAGCAGCAACACAGACATACATTCATATAACATACGTGTATGTATATACGAGTATGCACACACACACACACACATCCGTGCATGGACTTATATAAAACGAATAAAAATAAATCGAGACAATGACCGATGCAAGGGATTAACTAACTGCTGAGTATCAATGGCTATATACAATAAAATTACAACAAACAATAAATATATAGGTCGAACTTTACGCCGCGGCCACTACAATGTAGCAGGCGCAAAGGGAAAATGCTCATTAATTGAGAAATTTTCATCCGCTTCTAGGTACATGCAAACATACTCGTACCACAATGGTTGGGATCATAAAGGAATGTTTCATGTTGAAAGTTATTGTTTTTGTAATTCTTTGCAGTATTTCTTGTTACTTACTCTTCGCTCCTTGCACCAAGCGCCACTACGAGTCGATAATTCTACTGGCCATAGAAGTATGATTTACAAAATCGTTTCATGAGACTGGCTGAGACGGTTTTTTCTTCTTATTTTTAGTTTCCGCAATTGGTAAACGACAGGTCGGTTCATTGGAGAGCCAGCAAAAGCCTGCAGATTTTATTCCCTGTGATTAGCTACTCAGCTCGTATTATAATACTCCAGCATTAAGTGGAAGTAGTCAAGCGATATGGAGTCATGTTACCTGAAATGCAGCTTAGTAACGAGCTGTTCGGAGACGTCCTTTCCTATCCGTAAGAAGCTTTTGACAGATACGACTTTTACAATTTAACTGAAACGGGTTCCAGAGAAAGATCGACGAGATGGTCGACTACATGAGCCGGGTGCACCTGTGTATTGCTGCGATACAGAAAACGAAGTTGACCGCCCGTTCGGATCTTCTGTGTCGGGCCGGATACAACATTATACACAAAGACCGCGAACGAGACCATGGTAGGGGTTTAGCGTTCATCTTACACATAACCGATGGCGACACCGACCGCTGGGATCCGGTCAGCCGTGGTCGAGTTCGAAATTTTTAATATATACAATCATTCCTCTTGTTACAAGTTGCTCAATTCGATATAGCTCTGATGTAGGTGCGCTACGCAAAGGCGAAAACCATTTCGTTTTAGGTGACTTTAGCGCCCATCACGATCTTTGACATTCTAGCCTGTCTGATTTGTGGATAAATGCCAAAGGACCCTCCCCATTATTGTTTAATTTCTATACCAAGAAGCTCCCTCCTGCACCAGAAGGTTTCCTTGATCTCATATGCCGATGATTGTTTAATATTGGCGTCCGGTCAGGATATTTATGATTTTTGTTCGAAAGTGAAAGGCTATCTCGTGGACCTGTCCCACTTCTTCAGCGCAGGACAGCTTAAAATTTAACCGCCCAAATCCTCGGTTCCCCCTTACACCAGCAGGACGAACGAATAAACTCCAGAGCCGCAACAAAATACTCAAAGCGCCAGCCGTCAGTGTAACCTATAAAGCAATTATCCGGCCGTTCGTTAACTATGCTGAACCGATCTGGGCACCGGGGACGATCGGGGCGCTGCTGACCTCGACAGGAAACTTCCTGATGTCGCCGGAACATCACTTGCAGAGTGAAGCATCTATTCTTCGATTTAAAGAGCATAATGCTTTGCTGAGCAAGCAATTCCTGTTGGGATGCTACCACAGGGAGGCTGAACCACTCAGGCACATCAAAAAGGGAGTACTAGACTTAAAAGACACCATCCAACAACACGTTCAACAACCACTTGAAAGGAGGGCGTACAAAGAGGCACTGAATGGCATTCACCATTGGTAACTTAACACCCTCAAAGGCTCCTTTCCTGTGAATGGCCTACTTGGAGTCAAACGGGTACCTATAGCAGACGAAGAGGTCGAGCTGCCTCAAGAGACCCGCATAATACTGGTGCCACTTAGGTCTGGATACTGGTGCAGGTTGAACTCCTACTTATCCAGACTCGACCCCAACATACCCAATGTATCTGCTCTTCCTCTGGTCCGAACCCGTGAAATAGGTTGTTTCGTGGACCTACGTTAGATGACCTCGGTGACTTATATTCGCTACAACAACAACAACAGTTGGTACTTCTATTCCACTTTCGGTGACATGGAAGACGATGACTAGGAGAATGCGTCCAACATGAGGAAGGAAAAGGTCACAAGACAGCACACAGAAATTACGTTTACTATTAAATGACTTCCGCGGGAATTCTAAGTTGTTGAGAAAGAGCCCGAAGCTATCAACGAAATACCCCCATCTTTTTAGATTATAAACACTGGAAATGACGTCATAGTTGCGGAGCTATTAATGTTTTCTCTATAATTCAGAAATCATGTTTTAAAGGTATATATGCGACAGCCGTTTAGACGAAAATTTGAAATTCGTTGCGCATTACTTTCGTTTATTATCAAAATGGTTGGATGGTTGTGTTGGATCACATATATATGTATATGTATGGTAGCTACTTAAATTGATAATAAATTTTTGCAGAAGACATGCTGCATTGATAAAATACCGCTCTACCACGCGATCTTCGCGTGTGGCCAACGCTCACATCCATGAACACACATCGAGCAACTGACAAAACATGTTGATTGGTTATTGAAGAAAATAGAAATAGGTTGTTTATCGCTACTTATCCACTTGTTATTATGCCAATGTACAGATTAGTGGACATATGAGCATACATACAAACGTGCTGTAAAAGCTGCTTACATTCCAGTGGGTTGATGGAATTAAATTAGATTAAAGGTTAAATGAATTCGAAATAAACTGTTATCAGTTGAATTTAAGCGAACTTGGAATACTTGAATGACAATTTATGTCCTAGCGAAAGAGTACACATTCATCAAATTCATTTTATATATGTATGGTGTTTAATTATATTATGATTACAATCAAAATCGAATGTATTGCGCTTTTTGGAAAAGTCAACTTATATAATCGTGTAAAGTTACAAAAAAAAACTCGGGTTTTCGCCACATCCGTTCAACCAGATAGAAATAAAACACTTTTCACTTAAGTATAGACCATTTGAATTGCTCTCGCGCGGACTGCAACACCTGGAAATGATAAAAAAAGACTTTAATATAGCACAAGCAGCATTGAGAGAATATTTAGATTTTTATACTTGTGTGAGACATAATTAAATAAAAGTAAAATTAAATTATTTAATTTTTGGCATTTATTATTTCATATTGATATTTGCATATCATAATATAACAATATTAACAACAATAACAATACAAAGCACTAAATTTGAATAAAATGTTTCCGCTTTAGCAGCTGTTTTCCGCAGGAATTAAGAAAAAAAAGTAAAAATATATTGAATAAATTAAGTCAAAAACAGAGGTAAAATATCGTATTTATACTAAAAACCACTTTTAAGCCAACATCGTGAGGTAAAAATGCTTTAATTCAATTACTTATAAAGAAAACTGAATTTAGCGAAGTATTAATTACATTATACCAAGCATCAACCGAATAAAACAAATAAAGAATTATATACTATACACAACGTTAATGATTTCAATGAACAACAATGTAAATATCTAAAATTTTTACTTTTTATCAAAAAATATAGCGAAAGCACCTGCTACCAGATTTATTTTATTTTACTCCAAATACTCCGCAATTAGCAGCAATTTCCTGTTATAAATCGGATTTTTTTTTTCAAATTGAGCACAAAAAATTTGGCACTGGTCGAAGATTTGTATATATTCATTTGTATTCGCTTATCTAAATTTTTTTTGTATTTTTCTTTTACAAACACAAATGCAAAAATCTACGAGTTTAGTTTTTCTTCCCATAGAAGGGATATTTTTACTTAATGGTTCAGCATTCATTAGCAGGCACTTAGATATAACTACATATCGATTGAACATGCAAATACCATTGAGTTTAACATAATTTAAGAGATTTTTTGAATAATTTTACGCAAATAATGAAGTGGACACCACGTAAAATATATACAATTGTATGTAGTACGTAAAGAGTATTTGAGCACAATCGAGCTTTTCATTTAAAGACGAGCCATCAATACTACCAAAATAGTCCATTGATTTTATTAGTTACCTGCGCGACGGTCTGTTCGGCAATTGGAATGTCATCGTTGCGCAAATCGACACGTTTCACCACCGACGACGCATCAGCATCCAGGATAACACTTAAATAAAAATTAGATATTTGTTTTATTTTTTTTATATTTTTCCTTGAAGCCACTTACCCGCCATCACAGATTTCATCGAAAGCCAACATGATAATCTCTAAATTATCCAAAACTAAACGCTTCTCAACATTCTTCTTCAATATAAAACTAATCGAATCATATAGGCAATTCAATACGGACAGCAGTATCAACTCGTTTTCCTGGGCACTGCCAATCACGTAAAAAAATAAGTCCACATTACTTTTGTACACGCAAGTAAGACCATCCAACATGATGATTTCTGTATTGGAGCGATGAGTTTTGTTGAATAGTATCTTTTCAAACGCCTTCTGTTCTTTCACTGTGGGCAAGACATTCTTGTCGTAGTACTTGGCCAATATGCGATTGCCATCATTGTCCATGATGCACATGCCTTTGATGATGTTCAATGTGGGCTCCTGTTAAAAGAAATCGTGAATTTTAATATTTTAAATAAAAGATTTTATTTGTTTTGTGGCAATTTCTTACCATCATAAAACCTTCCATTGCAATTTGATTATTTTCTATCGGCAGCCTGATATTTGACACTTTTCATTTACACGTCAACCGCTTACAGAGTTGCAAGACAGAGTATTCAAATCTAAAACTTTTTACTTACCAACCTGTTCATTATATATCAATTTTTACATACTCTTGTAATCATTTTTACCAGGCAGTACAACTTCATTTATTTTCCTATTTAATAATAATATAGCCCAACATAATATTGTTAAATTTAACCCAGCTGCAAAAAAATGTTTCGCTTAAACAGTTTAGGGCGACATCTATTAAGCGCGGAACCTTCGGATGGCTGCTGCGGCGTCACCTATCGGGAAAAGTACGATTATATACTAAAAACCAAACTTAAAACTTGACTATCATACTCCGCCATGATTATAATTTTCCTATAGAGGGCGTTGTTATACCACATAATTTTTTCATGTGACATAGTGCAGAGAACGTATATCTCTGTTATGAGCAGAGCCATTCACAATAGAGACCGCCAAAGAATAAAATTTTTGAACCAAACAATTCAAAAATTTATAAATTGTCATCAACGCATAGGACATACAAATATATATTTCTTAAATATATCTTGTACAATAACAAAAAAAAAATTAAAATTTATTTATTTTAAATGGATGTTATACAAAAGGTAGATCAGGCCACGGTTACTGAAACACCGAAGACTAAGCGCCGGTCCAAGGAGAAATTAGCGAAAATTATTGAAGATGTTGTGGGTGGTAAAGACGATGTTAATGCCGGCTGCACGGGTAAGAAGGGCCAGAAAGTACATTTGAAGCAAAAGGTAGTGCTACTATCGGAAGAAAACCAAAATCTCAGCCAGACTATAAGCGCTAAGAATGCTGAAATATCTGATTTGAAACGTTCCGTGCAATCGCTCAATGAAGTACTCAATTCAGTGCCCATAGATGAGCTACGCTGCAACTCATCGATAGCAAGCTCGAAATTATTGGAGTTAAGCAAAAAGAATCGTCTATTAAGAGCTGAATTGGAAACCACTAAGAATAGAGTTAGTAAAAAAGAGCTGCAAATACAGAAGCTGGAACGAGATTTGAAACATCTCGAGGATAGGTTTCACAAAGGCAGCACCGACACGAGCAAGGTATGTGTCACGTTCACGTGATTGGATAAATCTTAGCGTTTTAAGACTGGGGACTGTTAGACATACATATGTTCAGAGCCCTACTAAACTCCAATCGGTAGGCATTCATTCCTCCGACCATATTCTGCGAAAAAGTGAATGCATGTACTTTGTCAGGTCTTCACCACACAGGCAGCCATTTGTACATAAATACATATATTACTATAGAACCAGTTTTTCCCCTTGATGATAAGCCGCTGTTGAACGAAACTCGATATTTCGTTTACTGAATTAGGATATAATCACTTTACTGCCTACCTCTGCAACCCTCTCAACTGACTCATGGTCCAATGGTCCAACCCCATGGAAACAGCCGGATCTCAAGATCTGAGGACGTGATAAACATTCGTGGCTCACCTCATAAGTAAACAAAAAAAATTCTCCATTTCAGGACTCTTCCGAAGAGCTGCGTGGGAAATTGATCTCAATTCAGCAGAAATTGTTTGAGACGCGTAATAAAAACACCGAATTGCAAAATCAACTGAAACTCGCACAAAAATGTCTACAACAGGAAATTGGTGAAAACTTCAACTTGGCAACAATGGCTTCTCAGGCACAAAATTCAAACTGGCGAGGACGGGCACAACAAATACTACACTTGCAACAGAAAGTGCATGAATTAAAGGCGCGTTTGGAAATGGTAGAAAGGCAATACAGTGACGGCAGCCCCATTGCCTTTGCGTCCGGGGAAGGCACACATGCCGAGTTGGCACCTCCAACCTCAGCAAAGAGTGGCGCACGCTCAGCAACCAGCCACGTGGAGGCTCACATTGCGCCAAATCTTAGTGCTACCTCCTTCGATCGTTACAACACAGTAGTACGAAAAACGGAAATTTTACATCGAGCTAAAGTTGAAGGTCTGGAAAAAGAAATCGCTTCACTTAAAGCCCAACTGGAAGAGCAGCGCGGTAAAGTGTTGGCACTTAAGGTTCGTAACAAAACATTGAATGACGAAGTATTGAAGTATAAGGTGAAAGCGAACACGTTGGAGGAGCAAACCGATTATAACGGTCTAAATCTGGCAAATATGAATGAGAAGATGAGTGCGCAACGCTATCACTATGAGAGTCGCTTGGAAGAGATGACACGGCAATTGAACGATTTGAAACGCCTGCATAAGGAGGACAGTTTTCGTCAAGAGGAAATGCGTTTGAAACTGGAAAATATGGAAAATCTGGTGCAAAGCAAAGAAACTTACATTGAAGAGTTAAAGCAGACCATAGTCCGCTTGGAAACTGATCTTAAAGCCTTATCGGGCGGGTTTCTATTCTCCTGTCGCGAGTTGCGCAAGGTGAGATCATTTCGTACTTTGAATTCCCAATATACCCAAAGTACTATTACTTTGGTGCAGGTACCGATTCCAATCGGTTGGTTCTCTCTGCTTGCGCCGATTGGAAGTACAAAATTAAACCAGTTCGCATTTTAACTTATCTTTCCACGGAATGAAGGTCTTTCTTCCTCTGCTTCCACCGGTGGGTACTTCACCGAATACTTTTTTCCTATTGAAAACTCTTACTGCCGACTCATCAGAAGTCGACATCGTTCACACTTTCGTGCCACATGACCGGCCTGGAATGGCGAGCAAATGGCAATTTACGAAAATAGCGCTGGCAAGAATGATTCTGCATTGAATTTCAAGATTGTTGTAAATACTAATATCAGTGTTTACAACCTCAAAGTTCTGACTGTCGACAATGTTTGGGAGCGAATGCTCCAATGCTCACGAATTCACTGACTGCTTGGTTGCTGACATGATATCAATATAATCGGTATACGCCAGTAATCGTACATTCTCGTAAAAGAATGTACCTTGTCTATTTAGCTCTCGGCATCACCTTGTCTGAAACCCCGTTTGGTACCGAACGGTACCGCTTTTTATATTGTGCTTCGTCAGTTCACTCAACACGCTAGATATGTACAATATATATTATATGCTCATATCGCGATACTAACGAGACTAATACAACGGTAATTGGGGCAGACTGTGGGGTCTCTTTTTCTGTGGATTGAACAGAGCGCTATGAAATTCCAGTCGTCGGCCATTCCTACGTCCAATCATATTCACCAAAAATCATCAATTGGGACCTTGAGTTCATCTCCGAGTGTTACACTTTCGCTGCCATTCAGAAGGCTGGAGAAGTGCTTCCTTCATAAACTTGCCATGGCCTAGATACTGATCATCAGTTATCTCCTTGCTTCTTACATCTGTACGTCGCCGTATCTTGCCATAAAATATTTTAGCATTCCTCCTGTCGGCCAGTTTCTCAAGCTCTTCATATTTACGCATCCGGCCTCTTTCTTGTTTGTCTGCATAAGCGTTTCGCTTCCCCCTTTGACTTTCGGAATCTATGACATCCGGTATGTTTTGTGATTGATCGCAACACCCCAATCCCCATCGTATAAACTCCTCTTTTGGACTTGCCGAAAACAAATTATTTCTGTAGCTGCCCACTCTGAGCGACAAGCACGGTTTTAACACGATTGCGTTCTAGGTGTTCATGGAAAGCATTTTTGGTCACATCGTTCTTCTCAGTCGTCTGGGAGTGGGCAAAAATCAGCGATATGTTGAAGAACTTCGCTTTGATGCGAATTGTGGCTAGACCTTAATCTCCCAGATGAAAACCTGTACTTTGTAACAGATTCTTTCTTCCACCATAAATCCAGGAACCTCCTTTATTCAATCGCATTTCCTTGGGCAGCGGTGATGCCGGCCTTAAGTCGTTCGAGTTTTTCAATTTGTTATGTAGAGGAACCTTACTTCAAATCGTGATCCTCTCTTTCATCTGAGCTTGAACCGATTGCGTGAATTTTCACACTTAGCCCCATCTTCACAAACAACTGTTATAATTTAGTGGCAGTTGATTCATGGATATTGTACAGCCTCAAAAGAAAGAAAGAAGAAAACTCATAATCTGTTTCCGGCTTAAGATCCCCTCATCGATTTCCTTCGTCATCTCGGTTGCCATTCGTAGGAACAGTTCAATTTCATTTGCTGAGTTGCGGGAATAGAATCGAGAAAAATATTTAAAAATCCTAAAAACCATTTTGAATATTCCAGGAAGAGTTTATCACCATACTCGATTCGTTGGAAGCCGAGAAAAATGAGTTGCTTAAACACAACAGAACTCTCACTGAACGGAGTGAACAAGATCGTTTGAAGAACGAATCGCTTCATGAACAGCTGGCCAAGCAGAAAGTACGCATTTCCCGAATGGAGGCGCGTATACGTGAGCTGGAGAGAGAAGTAGAGCTGCAAACGGAACGCAAAAAACGCACACAACGCATTGCAGACTACGTGAGCAGTGTGAGCTCAGCTGCGTCTATGGGTACGTTCGTTTTTGAGAATTCTTCACAAAGTAATCTGTCGAATGTGGCAATCGATGAATATACGCCGGCGCAGGTTTATCAAATGAAGCATGAGTAAGAGAAAATTTGATAAATGTTTGTTGCTATTATTGGTTTATTTATCCTGTTTAAAAATAGACTCGAGTATGCACAGGAAAAGCTTACCTACCTCAACGAGAAAGTCCAACACCTGCAGGAGGAGAAGGAAACCGATGCTCGCGCTTTTGCTGATATTATCAACAGCTCGAAAAATATTGTTTTGGACACGATTATGGGTAATCGCAGTAATGCTTCCATTTCTGTGGAGATCAGCACTGGCAAATCAGTATAGCCTGAAGGAAAGCTGGAGTGTTTTTATTGATTATAAAAAAAATTGCAAAAATTCTATTGTTCAAGAACAGTTTTGGCGACCTTCTCTCTTTAATAAAAATAATAATAATTGAAAGCGGAAAGTCTTTCTACGCGAAAGACACATATCCCACTTGGGGGCCTAACATGAAAGAAAATATGTGTATAGCCCAATCCAAAGGACTGTAAGCCAGTTAACCTAACTTTGATTACGAAATAAATGCTTTGGAACAACCTCTCTCTAAACCAACATTCTAATACCTTGGGTTATTGAGCAAGAACTTACTTTAATGAAGGACAAATGCGGCGTACTCCTCGAGTTTGTAATAAATACTATTAAAAATAGGACTTGAACCTAACGTGTGTGAACACTGAGGAGCAGGATCACTTATCCTCAAGAGGCGTACTTCAAGGAGGAGTTCTCTTATCCCAGATGTGATGTCTCACAATAAAAACATTACTCCGGAAACTAAGTGTCACAACGTCAAGGAGACATTCCCAGATTCAGTGACCTACTTTAAAATCCATTACACATAAGAGGTAAATGGTGCAAATATTGCATGCTCGATATGTATTCAACACGTCACTGTTCTTCCTTTTTGGAGGAAATTAGACATAGTTCAGGGATCCACCCATACATTTCCTCCAACTAGACCTCTAGGTCCAACATCAATTGAGCTTCAACGTAGTTTAGCTGCACGTAACTAAACCCTGGACGAATCGAAGTGCTATATTCCACACAACTACCGAAGAATTAGTGTAGTCCACTTTGTATCTTCTATTCTTTTAAATTTCCTTCAATCTCAATCTCTCAAACTCTGCCGAATCGCTGCTTCGACCTATGATCCTTAACATCTCCATTGCAATATACTTTAACAGCCCAGCTGCCCTAAGATCTTCGCAACGCCTCTTTATTGTGTTAAAAGCGACCCTGCGCGCGAACTGTCCTGGTAGCACTGGTCAGTCATTCAGTGCTACTAACGGACATTGAGGAATACTCATTACGCCGGAGTTGCAGATGCGGGTCCAGAGACGCAACAAAATGCTCAAAGCGCTAGCAGGCAGGACTTGTCATCCTGATGTCGCCGGAGCATCACTTGCACAGTTAAGCATCTATGCTACGAGTTAAGGAGCATAATGCTTTACTGAGTGGTCAGAGAGGGAGTACTCGACATGAACAACACAGGCACTGAACGCCATTCACCAGGAGTCAGTAAACACCTTGAAAGACTTCCTTCCCGTGAATACCGTGCTCGGAGAAAAACCACCACCCATTGCAGACAACAAGCGCGAGCTGTTTCGAGAGGACTGCGTGACCTTGGCACAACTTAGATGTGGAAACTGTATCAGGTTATGCTCCTACCTATACAGACTCGTCCCTAGCATATCCAACGTATGCCCTGCATGTGGAGTCTCCGCACGACACTAATCACCTCTAACGTGTCCCCTTTAACCGACTCATCTAAACCTCTCCCCTTTGGTGCAATCCCTTCGAAGCATCACGTTACATGAAGCTCCCACTAGATGACCTCGGCGACTTAGATTCATCAAGACTGTACGAAAACAATAAAAAAATCAAATTTGGAGCTAACAGTCGCAGCTATTGTTACACAAATGCCCATTTGAGGTTTTGATGGAATCCTCATAGTAGTATCAACATCAACTCTGAACAATATTAAATTCTTTAGCATTACAATAATCAAAGCAGTGTGGGCTTTTTGATGTATTAGATTTTCAGAATTGTCAAAATGCAAATTTTTGTTTATTTATTACACTGAAACATTAAAAAACTTCCAAAACTTTTGCTCAGTCCTTTTTGTAGTTCCTTTTAAATAAGCAAAGAAAATTTCGAGTTTTTTTTAACGCTTTTATTTATAAAATAATTTGCACAAAATTACACAATTTTTGCGTTTCGTAATATTTTTAAATTTTTATTTTATTTCATAACTATTTAGGGTATGGTATATATCCAACGATTGGAACATTTACTATAAGTATGTATACATAAGTATATGCTATACGTTCGAAACTCGTTCTTACAACAAATGCAAAGTGATTTGTATTTGTTCGTTAGTTACAATTATTTTAAATTATTTAATTTTTTTTGTTTTTTTTTTTCAAATGAGTTGATAGTGATAGCTTGAAGTTAGTGAAAAATTTGTTTTTTTTTTTGTATTTAATTTTTGTTGGCATTACTAATAATGCTGCTATCGAATGAAATATTTAAATAATCAACCTGTAAGAAAAGATTTGAATTCGCAAAATAGTAATTAAGTAATTGCTTCTAATTGACACTAAACAGTAAATTTCATAATTTATGCTCAATTAAAAAAACACTTATTATTAAAAAGTTTATTCGTTTAAACAACTTTTTAATAATTCATAATTAATTTTGAAAGCATAGTTTAATACACGTACATATAAATACATACGAGTATGTGTGTAGTTAAGCTATAACTTTTCAAGGTTGCTGCAAATAAAAGGCACTTTAAGGGAGTTAATTAGTATATGCACGAGTATAGCTAAATTGTCATTATACAGTGTTGTTTTTTTTTGTTGTTTGTCTTATAAGAATTAGTCCTATCTAGCATAAATTAGTAAACGCTTTCGAAGCTATCAAAACTGCAGTGCAAATATTATGTATCAAATTCACTAAAGATTTATTTGATTATTGGGTTTTACTAGGAAAGGAGCGCTAAATATTTTTTATATTCAGTCCAATAGGATTCACTAGAGGCATCACATGATAAACCGATATTTTATTTTTTTTCTATAATTTGCCGTTGTTTACGCGTGTAAAAAGCATTTGGTTGATATTTTATTTGAATATTAGTATATCGTAGATTGCATCGTGTCATATAAAATTCGTTATTGCAAGTTTAATTCTTTCGTAATTATTGATATATGTATCTATTTATTTGTTCCTTAGTTTTTAGTAATAATTGATAGAGTCAAGTCGATTTCGCAAATTCGTATGATTATCAATAATCTAAATGCTTTTTGTCTGTGTTTTGGCTAAATTTTTCTAATTTGTATTATATATGTACATATGTAAGTAAGATATACATAAGTATAACAAAATTTCATATTTCCCTATATATGCTTTTTGTTCTGAATTTACTATTTTTTCACTTTTTGTCTCATATGCGTGTTGCATTTTCAAAAGTTCTCAATTTATTTCTGATACATTATTTTTGGTTTTATTACTCTCTGAATTTTTTTTATTAATTTCTGTTTTATTTTTTAACTACGATATAGTTTTTATCAGAAAAATGCAAAATCTATTATCGATATTTTCGTTTAAATTTTATTTCAAAATAAGTTTCGCATATAGTATTTTTATTACTGTTATTTCGACGTTCAGACTTTCATTTAAGTATTCACATTGTCTACAAAGTCTTGGAATTTGTTGGCTTACTGTAACTATATATGTAAGTGCATATGTATTACACTTTTGTTTAAATTCATGTGATGTATAAATAAAAATTTTGTTTGACTTTAAATTCAGCAAACAATAATACTAATTTATTTTAAAGCATAACAAAGAAGAACTGAAATAATCAAAAATCACACAATAAACTTTTGCACTTTAACTGTCCCATAAACAAATGAGAAAAATAATAAGTAATAGATAAATAAACAAATGAAATTCAACAAAACGGTATATTGAGAAATTACGATTTAAAAAAATGCACCAAAACTAAATTTATCTCAACAGAGCCAACTTAACGTTTAATTCCCCAAAGTTTTCGCCAGTTCTTGTCCCAATAATATAAGAGTATTAAATAATTAATTATTGTGACATAAACAGAAGAAAAAATGTTTATAGCTTTAGTACATACCAAGTTGGTTTGTTTGATGCTTTAAAGTTTTTTGTAGGAGTACTTTCCATTAAAAATTTTATCAAAACTTTAATTATAAGAATTACACGAAAACAATTTCACAATTGTGACATTATCGTAACATGGTTAAATCTTATAATAGTAACAATTTTTAACATAACTTCTTTTTATTTAAATGCTACTGTGATAAGCCAAAACATTTTAGGAATTTAGATTAAACCCAAAGTGTTGAGAAAAACAATTTTTCCTCTTTTTTAAGCAATTTTTTAATTATTAAGCAACGACACTGCAGATGATTACCTGGAACTTGCAGCTTCGGTATTTTTTTTTAATTTTGTTGGTATCAACATTTTCTAAAATTATAAACTCGATACCCTCCTGTGGTCCCATTCCCATCATCCTATGGCATTTAATAAAGAAAATCAACCACTATTTTTGTCTTCTAATGCTTACAAAAATTTTAATATATTTTTTTGCGGATGCATTTTCAATGCATGTTTTTCATTAAATTATCTAAAATACTTTTAGTAATAAAGTTGTATACGTCTTATGGTGAATATAATAACAAAAAACCGCATTCCATAAATTTTTAATTACTCCGAACTACAAGAAAAACAAAACTCAACGCAAAACCTTTCTCAATTGCACTTTGCTCTCCTCCAATTTCCTTCTAGTAAAATTCGACAATAAATACTTAAGGCGTTAATAACAGTAATTTCATCAATTCGGTTTATATGTTTTTGTATTTATTGAAAGATATTTTTATTTTGTTTTGCTTTGCATTTCTTTACTAATTAATTTTAATTACAATGTGTTTGCCAGTATTATTATTGTAATTTATAATTCTTGTTTTTATTTGTGTATACTTAATATATAAATTTTATATATATAAAGTATGCATGTATGTATGTATATATTTATAATATGTGTAAACATAAGTATATATCTAAGTTGTGATATAACAAACATTATCATTTGCAAATTCTATTCAATTCAAATTGTTTACATTATTAATATATTTCTTATTTTGCTTTTAATAAAAATGTTTAGTTTCCCTTTCGTTTTTGTTATTTTTGTTTTATACTTTTCTTTAACTGCATGCCTGTTTGTTTTTAACAATAATAATTGCGTGTTTTCGTGAAGATTCGTCTTCTCCTCTCTTCTACTCATTTACGCTTTCAACTGCCTTTTCTTTCATTTCGCTCGTCTGCTTTAACTCCCGACAGGAGCATTTAATTAATTAAATAATAGAATTTTATCAGCCGCAAACAACCAAAAGGGACAAAATCACACGGTGCACTTTCGTTGCCGAAAATGGGCACAAATTATTTGCAAATTAAGAATGAAAAAGTGAAATGAATTTGATATCATCATCATTACAGCTGATGCAATTCAACCCAACCATCAAAAGACATGATTGAAATAATAATAGAAATCTGGTTCGACTTGTGGTTGATTACTTGGCTTTTGCGGATTTGTCGATTTCGTGTCCCTAGTGTTGTGTGCCGGCTGATGATAATGAGTATGATGATTATGGTGATTATGATGGTGATTGTGGCTATGATAGTTATCATCATCGTAATTCTTCATATGCTCTGAGGCATCATAATCATTATTGCTATCAGCTATAAATATGTTAATGAAGAATATTAATACGATTATCAAATAAAGGATACAAATTAGTATTACAACAAATTGATGATGACAACAACAATAATATAACATTCCCTATTATATAACGGCTTGTTCCACGTAGTTGGCGGGCAGCATACCGGTCTTGCCAGTGCGTTCAACGCGTCCAGTCATCCAACCGGAATCGGCCGATTCCACCTCAAAGATAACATCACCCTCACGGAAGCTGACTTCATCGGTATCCTGAGCTTCATAATCGTATAGTGCACGATAGACGCGCTGCAAAAAGATACAGAAATAAACAAATGAGTAAAATGGATTTAAAGTCAAAAAATGTGACGCGGATTCAACGGAAACCTAAATCGTTTTTATTTATGTTAAAATTTCTACTAAATAATCGAAAAAAAATCGATTTGTATAAACAGATATTTTATTCAAAAATAAATTTTAATTGTAAAATGAAAACTAGAAATGCTAATTTCAGTGTCTGGGCTAAAAAAAAAAAAACTCCTGAGGGACTAGAAAGGTTACGCAGTAGATTGTGATTTTAGTTGGCTACTTGCGGGCATTAGAATTCAATGATTTCTCACCTAGAATTACAAAGATTTGATATGAATGAACTAGAAGTATTTCTCCTCGGCATTATTGGGTTTTCTTATTTTTTTAAATCAAAGTCTCCTTGGCAGCAATATTGGAATGAAATATACAACAGAATTTAAATTTTCGATCTGATTTATTGTAAAATGTGTCCCATATTATTGATAGCAATTTGGGAAAAAATAAGAGTAAATAAAGCAAGGATTTGCATGTGTTTGTATATATATTTTTTTGGATATATGAAAACCAAGAAAGGTGAAATATTTTTACGAATGAAAATAAAATCAAATATTATTGGAATGTTCGATAAATATAGTAAGACTATCTATGTAAGTGCGATTTGGTTAGTGTTAGAATATCCTTCGGTCTTCCGCGATACAAACATGGCATCGCTCACGTCGTGATATTTGTTTGGCGTTTGCAAAGCTAACGGGAGGTTCGTTCGACTAAAAAAAAGACCACTTCGGGCCGAAGGCATTGTCTCCCATGCCCTGTTTGGTGAAACGAGTCACAAGCCGTATGAATAAATACTCTCGTAATTAACAGAATTGCCGATTTTAGCAGTAGATCTACCCCGTCTTAATCTCAGCTGAAAACTCCCACATCAACTATTTCTTTTAGCCGCCTTGAACCGTGACCAGCCTAATATATCCTAAGAGAAAGGAAATTAATGAAGTGATCTGTATGTTGGGATAATGTCAAACTCTTGCAGATCCTCATGGTTCGTAACACCCAAATGACACTGATAAAGCTGGAGTTACACACGACATTTATAAAGGCAGTAACACAGTCAGAAAACGATCATATGTATGCATGTATGTATGATGTATGCAGTTTATCAGTTCTGCGAAGTCGTATTTATCGTATTCACGGTTTTTAAACCTATAAAACTCCATTATTGTTTCAATATTTTATGTTCCTAGTAACTAGTAGCAAATTGACCTGTTTAGGTGAAATAAAACCCAATTTTTGTCTTAATTTTCTCATGTTTCTATCTCTATTATTTCTGGTAGTTGGACAGCGCATTTGGGGTCTTCCTTATTTACCAATACTGCTAAACCTCTGAAAACCTACTTGCCTGCTTCAAGACACACATTTTCCACTTTTTATGGTGTCTTTTGGGGCGCTTGTACGAACATTATGTATCTCAATAAGGCCAGAACAGATTTCCTAAATATTTCAAACATTCTGCGATACTGCAATATTGGGATTTCCAAAAAAAGATAAAGGCAACAATTTCGGAAAAACTATGATGTTACTTCAAAGGATTTTCTACTTTCCTAGGTTGCCATAAACTCCAGAGAACACTATTTTTACAACAAACTCGATAGCTTTTTGTCTTTAATATACCGAGAGCCTTCGGACTTTAAGTATAAAGTTTTTTAATCCACTACCCTCCTTATAAAATCTTTAATAAATATTTTCGAAAGCAAAAAACATATTTCTACTACCGATATGAATGTTTACCATAGAGAAAGATTCTAAAATCAATTTGGCTTACCAGGCTTGGCTTCGATTGCTGTTGTTGCATCATTTGTTGATAATACTGTTGCTGTTGCTGTTGCTGCTGCTGTTGTTGTATCGCGCGTTGTTGTTGCTGTTGCAATAGCTGCTGATGTTGTTGCTGGTGTTGTTGTTGTGACTGTTGCTGATGCAATTGGTGATGCGATGCCGACTCGCCAGCCAAAGAGCTATAAATGCCATTAGCAGGATCAATGTCAGCTATGGAGCCAATACGTTTCGGGTAGGCGTTGTTCACTGAGTGGTGAGTGGAAAGATGAAAGATTAAAAAACTAAATATTTATAACAAAGAGCTATAGGGAAACAAAAACGGCGCGTGAGGATTTGCTTTGCGATGCACAAGACGATTGACTTTTTCGTTATGAAACAATTAGCTGAAGGCGGACGATTTTGAAACGCACAAAAAATATTTCAAATGTTTCATATACACTTTTTTACATACAATTACTGTTGTTATTTACAATCATATACAACATTTTTATGTATGATTTTTTTCTTAATATTTACTTGGATATAAAAACTACCTGCACAGCCTACCAAGAGCTTATAGCGACAAGCTAAATACATATAATATTACTACCGCATCTAGCACTACACTCACCCGAGCCGCGACTGTCAGAGCTGTAAATGAGCGTTGTGCTGGGACGGCCGGTGTTGGGCATTGGGCGTGGCCCGTCGGTCAACGGATCATAGTCAGCAATCTTTCCAATGCTATTTACCGCCACACCAGTTGCACTACCGTTATTCACAACACCACCATGCCCCACATTCGACGGATGGCTGTGATTGCTGTTGTTGCCGCTGCCGCTGCCGCCGCCAATAGCTGCACCAGTGCTCACAGCGCCGTTGCTGTTGTGATGCGACAAACCGCCGCCACCCAACGAAGTGCTCGACGAGAAGTGACTGTTGTAGTTATTGCTTGCGTAGAGTTGTTGGGTGGTTTGTGGACCGCCGCTGGTGAGACCAGTGCTATTTCCTACACCAACGCCGCCATTGTTGGCATTAGCTGCGCTCAAAGAGTTTGTGTTGCTGTGGTAGGAGGCGGCCTTCTGCGCCTGTTGCTGGTGCTGCTGTTGGTAAGCCAAATGGTTATTGTTGCTGATGTTGTTGCTATTGACAGTGGCGCTTGTATAGTTGTCGTATTGGTCATAGTTGCCAGTATTGGTCCCGCTATTGCTACCATAGCCGCCACCACCGCCGCCGGCGCTTGTCACATTCTCGTTGTGATGTGTGGGCTGTGCGCCACCGGTTGGGTGATGGGAGTTTTGCAAAATTGCTGAACGCAGCTGGTTGTAGGTGTTTGTCGGCTGTTGTTGTTGTTGTTGTTGCTGCTGATTGCTTGATTGATGATTTGCTGCCGCACCGGCTCCGGCTGTTGGATACAAATGTGATGTTTGTTTAATTGGTTGTTGCTGTTGCAGCAATTGTTGCTGGTGATGGTGGTGGTGTTGTTGCTGCTGTTGTTGTTGTTGTTGCAACAATTGCTGCTGCTGCTGGTGATATTGTTGGCGCAGCGCTTGTGGCTGCTGGTAATGTTGATATTGTTCGTGTTGTTGATGTTGTTGTTGCTGTTGTGTATGGTGTTGATAGTGTTGCTGTGGTGTTTGATAATTCTGTGTGTGCGAGTGTTGTTGTTGGTGTAATGTTGGTTGATAGTGTGCGTGTTGTTGTTGGTGTATTTGTGCTTGTTGGTGTGCCAGCTGTCTGTGATTGTGACTTGGTGTGGATTGTTGTTGTATTTGTTGTTGTTGTTGTTGTTGTTGGCTATTATAAATGTTGTGCTGTGCATTGCCGCCAGTTGTTGCCGCCTGATTGCTGGATATTATTGCAGCTGTATTGTGTTGCTGATGCTGTATTGTCGTTGGTGGCAGTGTAACGGCGGCTGCTGCAGCTGCTGCTGTAGGTGGTGTGGGAGCATATTGTGAGAATTGTTCGGCAGCCAATGTTTCAGAGAAATACTCCGTTTCCTCTGAATTATTTTTTTTTTTTTGGATTATAATTTTGTTGTTGTTGTTAATTTCAGCACAACATGCAATTTTTCAATTTCGTTTTTGTGTTGTTGTTATTTTTTTATTTTCAAACAGTATGATTCAAATTCAATACCCAATTAGTTGTTGTTGTTGTTGATAATGGGGATGAATACAAAAGTGCGCATGTGTGTATAGATGGATTTTTGAATATGTATGTATGTATGTATGGGTGCCAGCAATAAATGTTTATTAATTGTCACAGGCATATAATGATTATACATTTGTATGTTTGTATGTTGGTTTTGAATGGTGTTCACAGTTGCCATTTGTTGTTATTTTGTTTTCCATTTTAATGACCACAAAATGACAACGTAAACAGAAAACACATGCACGATGTCATAGAAAATACAAAAAATTAAAAAAAAATTAACAAAACAATAATAACAAAATAAATGTGTATTTTATAATTGTATAATAATTAGCGTATAATATTTGCAGCAATGTACGTATGTATGTATTAAATGTAATGAAATGCAGCAGTGTAGATTTTTAAGACTTTAAATGCACTAAATAAAATGTTTTAAACTATTAAAGCAAAAATTAAATAAATAAATTAAAAGATAAAGTAAAAGGAAATAAAATAATAATAAAAAATAAAATTAAATAAAAGAAATTAAAATAAAACAAAATAAAAAATAATAAAATAAATTAGAATGAAACCAGGCGGTAGCCTCTGTGGTTTGTTACCTTATTATGGAAAAGTTTATAATTATATTATATTTCAAGGAAATATAATATATAATAAATAAAAAAATAATTAATTAAAAAAATAAAATTAATTATTTAATTTATTAATCAAAAAGTTAAAACAAAAAAATATAACAACTTAAAAAATAACATAAAATTAGAAATTATTAAATACAATAAAATATAAAATATAACATATTGGCTTGCCCCAAAAGAAACCGATTTTGCGATGTGTCATACAGACGGTGTTGACAATTGTTTTGAACAGCTGGTGACTAACTGTATTTTTTCTTTCGAAAGTTATAAGCAGTAACTTTTAGCTTGCTTTTGAAAAAAATACGCTTAATTTGTTTAAATTTGTTTGGTGTCAATTTTAATATTCTTTAATTAAAGGAAAAAATCCAGCGCAGGTTGCTGAGGTTGGTAAAAAGTTGCATAATTTGTATGGTGATAAGGCCTTAAAAGAAGCCCAGTGTCGAAGTTGATTTGTCAAATCCCGTTCGGGAGATTTTTCACTCAAAGATAAGCCACGTTGAGGTCGGCCAAATGAAGTTGATGATAACGATATCAAGGCTTTGAGAAAAGTTAAGTATATCAAAATAAACCGTTCATAATCATATACGACGTCTTGGACTGGTATAAAACGTGATATTTGAGTACCACATGAATTGAAAGAAATTAATTTGCGATATGCATTTTAAACGCATTGAATATGATGCGGTTTTGAAGCAAATCATGACTTGTGATAAAAAGTGGATTGTGTACAATGACGTCAATCGAAAACGACCATGGTCCAGTTTGGTGGCATTGGAAGGGTGAGGTATATTTTGAGCTGCTTCCAAAGAACCAAACGATTAATTCGGATGTCTACTGTGAACAACTGGACAACTTCAATACATCCACCAACTAGAAGCGGACAGACTTGGTCAATCGTAAAGGTGTCATATTCCACCAGGACAATGCCAGGCAGCACACATCTCTGGTCAATCGCCAAAAACTAAGAGAGCTTGGCTGGGAATTGTTGATGCATCTATCATATAGATCTGACCATGCACCGTCAGACTACTATTTTATAAAATCGCACTTGGATCAGATTTTTGCAAATAAAGGCCGCAAGTCCTATGTACGTGGAATAATGATGTTGCCGGAAAGTAATTGATTAAAGTTCATTATAAAATTTAAAAAATTGTATTCATTTTCTTTTAAAAACCCTCAATGCCCCAATAATAAGGAAACAATAAAGTAAAATAAAATAATAGTAATGAAAAAAATGAAAAGACAAAAAATTACTAAAACTGTAATTTAGCAAAAAATGTTTTCCGGTTATTGATTAGCCTTATTTTAAATAAATAATTAAAGTATCAAGTTACACTACTTTTTATCGAAATAACCAAAACAACTTTAAAAATTTTTTTACTAAAAAATATGAAAAATTAATCTATAAGAAAAAGTCATTAAATTAATCACAAATTTTAGCATGAGTTTTTTCTACAACAAAATGTGAATAAATGAACGCCAGCACAAATATATTGATGTAAAGGTACCAAGCCATTTCCACACTCAAAAATATGTAAATATAATTTATTAACACCTGCAGAAAATTCCCACATACCTCGCACATCAGCGATTTCAGCTGCCTCCCGTTGTTTCTCCATAGCTGCCTTCTTCTCCAAATCTCCATGATATGCAATGTTCGAAATAATTTTCGTATTTTGTTTAATTCGCAATGTTTCGGGATCGTCGGCGACCTGTAGTTTATTTATTGGCGATGAATTAAGAATGTACAAATCAATACAACAAAATCAAATCAAATTTATTTCTATTTTTATGTGTACAGTAAAAAAATACTTCTGAAATTGACGTTTTTTTCATTTGGGTAATACAACGAAAAAAATCTTGGAACGAATTGTGTTCAAATATAATATGTAAAAAATATGTATTCGGAATTTTGGAATTTTTATTTTGGAAATCTGATAGCTTTGAATTCGACAGTAGATAAGCCAATATTTACTTTAGTTTATTTCAAAGTATGGTCTTAAAAAATATCAAAAATATGACTTACACATTTAAGCACTTTTTTAATTAAAATCTAAAAATTAAAACTTCTTAACAGAGAACCAAAAAAAAAAAAATTAATTAATTGCAAAATTTATTTTTCTCACCTGTGTAAATTTGCCTTTAGATTTTTCAAAATCTTCATGATATTTCACGTTAGATTGAATTTTCGTATTTTCAGCTATTCGCTTCAGCTCGGGCGTGTCGGCAATTACTGTTGCTTTGGCCTTGGGAATATGCCTGTGTTATAAAGACATTTCAAAAATTCAGTGTTAGATCAAATTTTTTAAGCAAATTAATTTTTGTACGTTTGTATGATAATATAGGAGTATTCTGAGCTTATTATAGCTAAAATTTATTATTACTTATGTACAGTTTAATAGTGAAGTTTGTTTTTGTTGTTAATTACATAAATATAAACAAAATTATTTTAATATTTTAAAGCATAAAACATCAACTGGCAATCATGTTTTTTGGAAAATTTTATTAATTTTTAAACAAAACTTAATGTACTATTTTTGTATATAATTGGCGCTATGCAACCGCTGAAGCGGAGCTCCTTGTCTAATTTGGGGTTTAACGTCTTGATGTTTTTCCACAAAATGGAGGACCACAGCTTACACTAAGCCACCTCCGACAGGTTATGGTTTTTATGATAAGCTCTTATTTTATGTCAGAAATACACTCGGAGGATCTGCTGCCGAGGGGCTACAGTCATTAAAAAAATTAACTTAATTTTTTTTTACATTCATTTCCTATGAGCTTTGGGTGTTGGTCGTCGCCGGACTCTAACCCTGGCCTGCTGAATGGCAGAACACAATGCTAATTATTATCACCTTGATTATGTTCTTGTTATTTATAAACTCTTTTTTTCGGAGATGAGAAAGACTTTTTTTTGTAAACATATTAAAACAATTTAGTTGTTTGGTGAGATGCATATAGAATAATGTGCTTTTCACGAAGTTCTGCTCAATTTTTCCATTATACCAAAAATACTTATAGTCCAAGTCGTCCTGAGCTTGATTTCAATCTTCACATTAAAATCACAATCCTATAGGATAAAGGTGGATTTGCCTTCAACAAAAAACCGTCCAAAACATTTGAAATACTCTTGTTCCTTTAGTAATGAATACAACTTTAGAAATGCCAATATTAGATTGGTTCATTGATAAGGAACCTTAATAACCAAAATCGTTCCAGCTATTGTCTGTTCAAAATCAATGCTTAGTTTTTGTTCTAAAATGCTTAGAATGAGTTTATAGTTTAAAACTTTCTTCGTATACTAGGCTTTCAAGCTTCCAAGTGTTGTGATTATGAAAGCACATTTAGAACAAACAAAATTTTCTTTCCAGCACAACCCAGCAGCCATCACTTGCTTTTTGGTATTAAAAAAAATATTCTGGCTTCTCTCAACAACTATGAGGGAATTAACAGTTCGATTAGAGGGCGACTTTCATTTTGTTTTTTTTTTTTTGCAGCTAATACAAATATTCAGTGAATGCTAAATTTGCTTATGGAACGATTGCGCCGTCTTTTAAAGAGCTCTGAGAAGCTCGACCAAAATCTTCCACTAACGACGTCACTGTAGCTCTGGTGATGTCCAAAATTGACCAAGACCTACGATTGACACCAGAAATGAACCACACATTTTAAATGGGGCCAAAAATAGGCTCGAGGTCAGTCTAGCAACTTAAGTTAAGTCGTTACTGGTAACGAATCTTGGTCCTATAAGTATGATCCATTTACCAAATAGCAGTCCATGGTCTTGAGCCCAAGAGGATCAAACACGCCTGTAAAATCTAAGCAACAAAAATCAGAAGCAAAAGTAATGATGCCAATTTATTCCACCCGATCTAAAATCGTAGCTTTTTTTTCTGGAAAAGGGTCAGACGTCAGAAATTTTATTTCGATCTCTGGGATCGAAGAAATACTTGAAGCGTCATTATCCTTGATTATTTCCAAAAATTAAAAGGAAAATTATTGATTTTGAAGACCGTTTTCATAAGTGGATCTATACGCTAAAAAAATGGAATCAATGGCCTTTATGTAGAGAAGATAAAAAAATATGAAGATTACGAATAAATATAAAAATATTTAATTTTTTTTCCTGGTCAACTTACCGAACTTTTGTTAATCCCCTCGTATATATCTATCAGAATACAAAATATCAGTTGTCGATTAAATATTTCTTGTAGTTGAGAAGTTTTAGATCTCAATGTTTAAGGGTTTAAATCACATATATATTTTTTTCTTTTAGGCGAGACACATGAATTTGAAAAATAAAATTAGTTAGTTAGTTACGCGTTTCCTAAAAATGGTATGTTCAGAGTCGATGACCTCGTTTTTCCAGAAATGCCTCAGCCGATCAGTCACAAAGTTTGAAAGAAATTTCTTAGGATTATATGTCAGGTATTGAATGAGGGAATCTTGTTTAAAAAAATATTACTGTTTTTCAGCGCTGCTCAACTAACGAGCGACGGCATTTCGTTTTGTTAATATGAAAAATAATCTTAACAAAATGATTTTGTTTCGCTTCGGCGCCATATTATTGAAAGGAAATGAAGTTGTTAACGTTGGATCCGCATAAACTCATCGCTTACGTTAATTTATCAGGTGTAAAACTTTGCCTCTTCGGACGTCCACGTATTCCGTTCGATGGCATACGGTCTGGCAGATGAACATTTTCAATCCTTCGAAGAATTGGAAAAATGGATTGCTTCATGGATAGCGTCANATTGAATGAGGGAATCTTGTTTAAAAAAATATTACTGTTTTTCAGCGCTGCTCAACTAACGAGCGACGGCATTTCGTTTTGTTAATATGAAAAATAATCTTAACAAAATGATTTTGTTTCGCTTCGGCGCTATTTTATCGAAATAAACTCATCGTTAACGGTTATTTAAAAATGGCGACTTGCTATTATATTAACAGCACACTTCAATTTTAGCGTCTAACATTATCTGTTAAGGACTTAAGGGGCACACCTTGTGTAATGGCTTAAAAAAAGGTGATTTTTGGGAATTTTTATTAATAAAAAATACTTTATCAATTATTTCAAAATTTTTAGAATATATTTATACATGTTTCAAGAATATACAGTGAAATTTTTTAAGAAAAAAATTAAATATTTAAATAAGTTACAGTCGACCTTCAATGGCGCGAAAAAAAGGTCCTTCACTGCTGCAGTGATCCGGCCTTCCCCGTGGATGAAATCTAAAAAAAAAATTCTTTACTAGACAATATTGTCTGTACAATGACCTACGATAAAAAAATCAGAAATTGACAATATGGCGGCGTTTAAAAAAAAATTGGCGAATTTTACTCAAAATTTTGGTCGTCAAAATTCAATATTTTGATCAGATCAAAAAATAGATAGGCCATTGTACGGAGAACTATATATAGAACAAGTAAAAAAAATTCGATAGGGATCGGATCATTTGTTTTTGAGTAATCACTGCAGCAATTTCGGAAAATGATGTTTCGAGAAAAATGCGTTTAAAGATAAAATGATCGTTTTCACTCGTAGCTAATGAGACTCTCTAGCTGCCGAGCGGCTGCTCTATAAATTGCTATAACTCAAAAACTATTTGAGATATCGATTTGAAATTTTAATATGTTATTTTTAAAGGCGTAATCTACCGAAATATCAAAACAGAATCGAATTTTTTTTCACACTAGGTGTGCATTTCGTTTCGGGTAAAACAGAAATAAAATTTATTGTGATAATTGCTTTGATCATAACATTTCCAATTTATTCAACCGAATCGATTGAATTTTTTAGTTAATGTGAAATTTTTAATAATTTAATTCGAAAATTTCACTCAAAAAAAAATCCCCCTATTCCTTAGTCATCATTTGAACATAGTCACCACCGTGTTACTTAATTTCTGTTAATCTGAGTCGCCGAAAAGGAGATCACTATCAAGCGCCTTTTTTAGCTTGTCGTTCGGGGCATCACCTAAAGAAGTGGTGCTGCAGCTTGTACAGCAGTCGATATATTTTAAAATCTGTATTTATGATTCATGAACTAGATACACGGTAGTTCGGAATTGTCGAATAATTTCATTATCTACTGTATTTTGTGGGCATTGTGTGGGTACTTTCATAAATTCTTGTGTATCAATGTTTGCATAAACGACTTCAACTGAACAATTAAGAATTAATGAAATCTTATCGCGGCGATAATAAAGAGGAGAAATAAAAGCAACACAATTAAAAAATTGTATAAACAAGCAAAGCCAACACACAATCTTATATTGGGTTGCCCAAAAAGTAATAGCGGATTTTTTAAAAGAAAGTAAATGCATTTTTAATAAAACTTAGAATGAACTTTGATCAAATATATAATTGCCATTTTGTTCGATAACCTTTTGCCATCTTCCTGGCAAATTCAGTATTCCACGCTTATAGAACTTCTGGACTTTATCTGCAAAAAACTGAACCAAGTGCGATTTTATAGCCTCATCATTGCCGAAAGTTTTACCATTTAAGGAGTTCTGCAAAGATCGAAATAAACGGTAGTCTGATGTTGCAAGGTCAGGGCTATATGGTGGATGCATCAAAAGTTCCCAGCCAAGCTCACTCAGTTTTTGGCGAGTGACCAAAGATGTGTGCGGTCTAGCGTTGTCCTGGTGGAATATGACACCTTTACGATTGACCGATTCTGGTCGCTTCTCCTTGATGGCTGTATTCAATTTGTCCAATTGTTGACAGTAAACATCCGAATTAATCGTTTGGTTCCTTGGAAGCAGCTCAAAATATACGACACCCTTCCAATCCCACCAAACAGACAGCATAACCTTCTTTTGGTGGATATCAGCCTTTGAAGTGGTTTGAGCTGGTTCACCATGCTCGGACCATGATCGTTCTCGACTAACGTTGTTGTAAACAATCCATTTTTCATCTCCAGTTATGTTTCGTTTTAAAAACGGATCGAATTCATTGCGTTAAAGGTGCATATCACAAGCGTTGATTCGGTGTGTTAAATGAATTTCTTTCAATACATATTGTACCCAAATATCCAGCTTTTTCACCAGTCCAAGACTTTTTATGTGATAATGAACGGTTGATTTTAGTATAATTAACTTCTCTCATATCTCACGCTCAGTTACATGACGATCCAATTTGATTAATGCTTTGATTTGGTTATCATCAACTTCATTTGGCCGACCTGAACGTGGCTCATCTTTAAGTGAAAAATCTCCAGAACGGAATTCGCGAAACCAATTTTGACATTGTCT